TGGTGTGGCGAGTTGATTTGAATTTTTGTTCCCAGGGATAAAGTAAGGGGATAGATTCTCCATCACAAATGGGGCAAGGGGCCCAGCCAGTTACAGTTAGCAAGATGGCGTGTACTTTAAGGAATCATTCATTATACTCTAGGGTGGGGTGGGAGATTCTTATGTCAAAATGTCATGGGACCGCCTTTCTTAATCTCTTAATAATGATCATAAAGACCTCCCCCTAAATATTTGAGTCTCAAGACTCAACAAATCAACGAACCCTTCCCTTTTTCCCCATTCTACACTAGTGTATAAATAATGAATAGTTCCTAAATTGGGATATTTTGTCATGCAGCAAAATCTATTTAATTTGACGGTAACTGTTCTGAGAATATATTAATTCATCGGTCTGCTTCACGCCAGTTCCGGATCTAATGTAACCAGTCACTGAAAAACCCTGATAGGGGAGTGTGCTGAGTAATATATGTATGTATGTATGTATGAATGTATGAATGTATGAATGTATGAATGTATGAATGTATGAATGTATGAATGTATGTAGGTATGTATATTTGAGTTATGAATACTATTTATTATAATGAAATGATTTATTTTCGGGAAGAATGCTCCCTGACCCCAGTAGTAATGCACCACCTCTGGAAAACCTCCACCCCATCTGACAAATCAGTCTAGACATGACCGAGATGCAGGATTTTCTGGAACATTATTAGCAGTAAAGTAAAATTGTCGCATATTTTCAAGCATGTATTGTAACCTGATTTTCAAGCCTGATTGTAACCTGGTTGGTCCAGCCATATGAATACAATCCAAATAAATATCATAAAAACAATGCATGCGAAGGTTTTTCAGAAGTAGCATTCAGTGGCCAGCCAGCCCAACTCCTGTGAGCAGCCCTTTATTACACATTTGAAGCATATCTTGGGGCATCAAAGTACATGCATGCACATTGCACAACTTTGTCTGCACCAACACAATCAAGCTGGAAACGAGTACACAATTCATCTTCTTTCACAATTTAAAATAAACAATAATACTAACCTTTGACAAATCGTGTATAAATATTATCGAATTTAACCTTTCTGACACAGATAATATGCAAAAAAATATTTCTTAGACAGACAAAGGTACAATGGAGACTCCTTGCATGAAAATGTTAAAGTTATCCCAAAGTGTGTATAAATTAATCCAAGATTGCATAATAAAGTACTTGTCATTGACCAATCAGAACACATAAAAGACCAGCCGGTGCCAGTGCCTTTTTCCATCGCCGCATTTTCAAAAAATGCCCTTGGGAACGAGGTTGGTTTATTGACGTTTTTCTTCCTATTCGTTGGTAAAACTTTTATTGTAAAATGCCAGGTATATCTTAGTCATTATCTGAAAAAAAAATTTATAACAGAAATTTTCTCGAACATAGTCAATTTATCTGTATATCTGTATGCTATATATGTTCCAGTGAATTATGCTTTAAATTAAACTAAAGGTAAAATAACAGATAACAAAAGTTCATTCCATTTTAAAAATGAACTTTTGTTAATTATAGTTCCAACTTGAGTTTTATAAAGTGTATTATACTATAGCATTTGTAAATTCGGAACGCCGATTGGCTATAAGAACCGTGTTGATATATACCTCAATGTCAACACGGAAACGTCGGAAAATCTCTTTCTCTATGTTACTTCAGAGTTTCTTTGTGCTATATAATATTATAAAAGAAATACACAACATTTTTTCCATATTGATATTTGGGCGTCGTGTTTCCACACAATTTCTCGTTTTCCCAATTTCCACGAGTGTTGATATAACTGTATATCAACACGGACAACGTTTTGTATTTGTTAAATAATAGCTTAGTTTTTATTCAATAATCCAAAAAGCATGAACATCGATCCATGCGAAAGGTATAAATTATCGACTTATCTGTTATCGTCTCTATCTAGCCTGGCACAGACCGTGCAAAATTGCAGTGTTTAATTTCTGACCCCAAAACAGTCACAGTGGATTTATAGGGCGGGAGGGGG